GTGGGCCTTGCCATAATATTCCTACACTTGTCAAATTTCGTCTTATTTGGAGCATATATAGCTGCATGCCACATTCACTACTCCTTATTTTGCAAGCACAAACACTGTTTTGTACCTTTTTTTTACTGAAGGGAGCTATTACAGCAACTCAACTACATTTGAGTTTGTATACATTTAATTTGGTTTAGCCCTTTTGGTTAACTTATGTAACAGATAGTCATCAGTTTAGCAACAATTTACCTGTACCATGGTGCTTTTAATATGGTCTCTTTTGTATGTATAGATGTGATTGAGCATTGATACCGCCTACACAAAAATATTCATTCTGCTTGCTTTAATGTTAGCCTCTTAAATAAATCGATGACTCATTTATTTTCCCTTGTATGTATAATGACATTTTAACCATACCCACGTGTACGCTCACTGGCTCAACCGCTTTCTCTTCGGGACTCGCATATCATTTTCGTTTTGTGTGCCTGTGGTTTTGTGACCTGCGTGAGGTGCGATAATGAACGTAATCAACGCTTCGTATTCATCTTCTGATTTATACACCGTTGGGCATTATCTAGTAACGGTTATCAGGACGAACAATGTACGAAGTTTATGAATATTTCGAATACAGACCTCTACAGAACTGGTGATCTCACATCTACCACACACTGTTGAGGAATAAAACATGTTTATCTGAATGATATAGATTATTACGATAACAGAAATCCTTTTGACTGATAATGCAAACGTCTATGATAAGTATATTTAGTTATATATAAAACTCTCAATACTTCATACCTCATTGAACCATATCAATATTATAAGACAAATATAAAATGAAGAATGATGATTTAGCTAAAATACATGTCTTGATCAATTTGTTAAAACTAGTTGAAATTATCACGTAAAAACATTTTTTTTCTTAGTAGAAAGGTAGTATAGATTAACCAGTAAAATTATCAAGACTATGTTGTAGTGTTGAACGAATGTCAAACAGGAATGTTTTAAGTGTCAGAGTTATGAGGCTGACTTTATCCCGAAGGCTGAGATCTGAAAAAACCAACTAAACTCAATGAAAAATTGATATGGAATGATACAGAAATAATAACTTTAATATTGCAAATAATTGTGCCAAATGTTTGGCTGACAGGATTTTTCAATGATCAATTTAGTTATAACAGTTTAACTACTTACAAATTACTTATTTAAGGGCATATAATATTTGTAAAAAAAATTTACTTCACGAAAGAACTGCGATCGCTTTTCCAGTTAATTTTCTATCAAAACAACTGAACATATAGAAAAGTATAAGGAAGTAACCAATATGTTTAATCGCGTGATGAGACAACGGAAGTACAAAGAAGTTGATTTAGTAGGCTTAAATATTGTAAAACCACATTAGGTATTATTCTTATAAGTGAGTTAGTTATACCTCTTTAATACTCCGTTAATAAGATTTTTCAGTGGATGCTATCGATAATACAAGCAAGTTTGAAAAAGAAGGTTTATTGAGATGTACAAATCAATCAAGTTTATTGGTTTGACTCTATAACGGTTCTTAGTAATATATATATGCAGTAAACCTTTGGTATATTATATGGCATTCAGTTATCATTTAATATTTTCGGCATTACAGACATTACTAATCTGTGTGAACCGAAAGTTAACTAAGTTTTGCAACTGAACATGAAAAATAGTTTTCTTAAGAAATTCTTCATACATTTATGTCATTGTAGATACGGTGACAAGCAACTATAGTTAATCAAAGGATGCCTGTTATGTTATTGAAGTAGGCGGTTATTTTATAACTGATAAATTAAATTAAGTTCATGTCCGAAAGTAAAGTTAACCTTTACTGTTATCTTAAAAACATATGAATAACTGCTTTAGTTGTGGAATTCCATTTCTTAACGAAAACCATGAAAAGTATTGTATTTCCAATACTAACGTGCATCTTTGTATGAATACGGTGAAAAATGTTTTATTTAGATTGATTTATAACTCTTCCAATATACATTTTTCAGGTTATACAATCATCTATTTTTCCACAAGTCATCAAAGTTCCATCTCTGATAATGATTATCAAATAAAATAATCAGGTAAGCTTAAGTACACTTTATACGGTTCAAATAGTCTGTAAACGTAAAACGATATATTGTTAAATTCTGACCAAGCTGTAGAAGAATTAAAAGTTAGATGACACTAATAATTTTCCTTTTGTAAATATTAAATAAGTCAACTTGTATACAAGTATGATTGTTAATGATTTATTAACTACGTTGTGTGAAATTAACAATAGCGCATTTTAGATAAAGTATTAAGCAGGTTAAATTCACCTACTTTAAGCTATAAATGAAACAGACTTCCTAAACACGTTTAAATCGCAAAATACTGAGAATCCTTTGACCAGACACCATCAACAACCACCTGCTATGGGAGAGAACAAACCAGATTCCAGTTGAGAAAGAAATCAAGGAGAAGCGCTGGAAGTGGATAGGACTCATTGAAGGAAGCATCCAACTGCATCACCAGACGAGCCCTCACTTGGGGCCCTCAAGGACAAAGGAACAGCGGAAGACCAAAGAACGCATTACGCCGAGGATTGGAAGCAGATATGAAAAGAATGAACAGCGATTGGATAAAACTAGAAAGGAGGCCTAGGATAGAAGGTCGGAGAATGCTGGTCAGCCGCCGATGCTCAATTGAAGGTAACAGGCGTTAATAGGTAAGTAAATCTAAGTCGATAACGCTTATCGTGTACAACTCATCGTTGGTAATACTAAAGTTGACATAAATATTATTAATTTACATAATCATAAATGTTTAAGTACATTTGTTTGGTGGAAAAGTTGAACTGTTTATAATCACTATCCCGAATTCAATTGATTTGACAAAGTCTGAATATTTTACAAAATAATGTAAATTCAGTATATCATGTCATCTGATGAACGTTCACTGTGGTATATCATAATTCAGTCACACAGATACTACAGTGGTACAATAAATGTCAAATGAATAATGCTAACCATAGACAACCTAAGGTTAATGAGTAGAATTCAGATATCATTATTTTGAAATTGTATGAAATGGAAATTTATACTAATGAATAATAGAAATCATAAAGCTAACTTATTATACAGTTGAGCAGTATTTATCATAGTGTAAACATTTTAGTGACTGGCCAAATTGATTTAGTACGCCACAGAATTTAAAGTGATTAATTGAAAAACGGATATGTTTATTTGCTATTCCGTTGATACTGTATCTACGATTGCTAAGCGTACCATCAAGTAATTCAGTGAATTTAATTCATCCGAAAATGTTTATTGAAAGTAAAGCATAACATTAAAAAATTATCTCATGATAATGTAGACACTATAAATCAATGTAATATTATGTCATTTTATCTACAACAATAATAAACATCAATTCACTGGAGTGTAAATATAATATTATATTACCTTACAAAAGGGCAAGCTACTGAATGAAGTAAATTAATTTAATATATTTTAAATTACTAATAAGCAACAAATACTTTTAAATTGTTAAAATCATGAATCGATCAATGATGAATGTACTAGATGACAGTTTTGTCCTAGTATAGGACTCATCAGCGCTGCGAGTCCGTGACTTACTTGAACCTACCCAGGACCCTCGGTCTTGCACGCGAACGCCTGACCTCTATACCATTGAGCCGGCATACAACGGCGTTAATATCTAACTTTAGTCAATCCACGATGTTGCACGGCCTCATCCTGTCTTCGGTGGGTAACTGCCTCACATCCGACAGAGCTGAACTCCACTGGTCCCAACTTCTCAAAAGAACTTGGAGAATCTCCTGACAGAGATAGTCACTAGTGACCACACGATAATTTTCGTTATAGAGTTGTGGATCGACCCATGTTTGTTTCATAAAACTCAATGATCTCCACAATCCTATAATGAAAATTTTAAAATTAACCATCAACCTGAAATTCCAATCGTCAACTATGATGTCATAAAAAAGTGCTCAAGTTTCACTGCATATTTTCTTTTCTCGATAGAAATAATAAACTGCAATAAATGAAAGCAAAGAACAACTGCGAAAATGTAGAATTGTGCCCGGACTTTTTTATTATTATTAGGTATTTAATGGCCCATTGTATACGACAGTCTAATAAACTTCATAAATTCTAACCGGATGTGAATATTTTTAGCCAATCTTTCGTTGTAGTTTAGCAATAACTAATGTACTGGATAACACTTGGTGAACATATAATGACATACCTCCGTATATTTTAAGAAGACTTAATTTATTATTTAATTAAACGTATTTGTAGAGAAATTTCATATAGGACAGCAAAAAAAAAGATTTGAGCAAAACAGTTTATTTCGTTAGGTTCTCATCAGCTGCTTACAATCTATAATATTCTAAATTATCGGAAGGTTTACATACTGATAATATCGAAATCATGAACTAATCATTGCTAGACCAATATTAGAAACCTGGAAGCACTGGACGGTCGTTTTGTCCTGGTATGGGACTCATTAGGAGTGTGCATCTATGACTCCTGCAACTCGCAAGATTCAAAATAACGACCTTCGGTCTTACGCACGAACGCCTAACCTCTGAAACACCGAGCCAGCATTTAACGGTGTTATTGTCTAGCTCTGATCAATCTAAGGATTTTGTGCAATGCCACCCATTGTTTTCGGTAGTTACTGTCTGCACCCGTCAGGGTTGAGCCCCACTGGTCACATTTTCGGGATGAAATTATCGGAGTTCTAGTTCTGATGATGAGTCCCATAACAGGACGCAACTGCTTCCGTTTCAAACCGTGGTCTAACAAAGAATGGTTCATGATTTCAATATTAAACAACAATCTCCATAACAAAAAATATTTATAATAATTAAGTCTGTCCCGTTTATTATACAGGTTTACCAACCACTTACAAATAAATAATATATCTTTGCAGTGACAAATATTATATTTTTGAACATTTATTCTAGAACAATTCAAAAAAAATTCGCAAAATTTCCGATTGATTACGTGCCCATTTAATGAACATTTATACTTTATACGTATTTTAAATCCAAATAGTAAGAACCTCACTACCGTTGGCTGCGTGATCAGAGTATCATGTTAATCTACTGGTAGTTTGTAAACAACAGTATTAATTTAGTTATTCATTAAAAAAATTATACATAAGTTTCATCTTAGTCTTCTATCAGAGTGTCAATAACTATTAAAGTTATTTCCAAAATGTTTACTGTCATATCTAAATGGATTTGGTTTATTTTTAATACATAATGACAACTGTGTCATGTGTGATATTATCATCAATAATTAAAGAAACAAACTTTTTTTAAATGTCGTACAACCCAAATTAGAAATAACAATGTCTCATTGTATGATGAAATAGAATTAAAGTCATGAAAAAAAGGACTAATCTTTTATTATCGTATGTTACGAAATATGCGCCTCAATAAGTTAAGACATAACACACAAAAACTTCATGAATCTTACACGGAAAATATTTCTGATATTCACATTGGAAAAATATTTGAAAAAAAGGCAAACAAACAATGAATACAGTGTTTCCAGCTTATTTAGTAGTATAATGTACAAGCAACAAAAAAACTAGCTCAAATTTTACATCACGACATAAGGAAGAGACAAAAATAACACAAAATGTACTGTACAAGAAGATGCAAAATAATTAAGGGATTAAGGTAATAAGTATGGAACAAAGACATTTGGCGATAAGTAATAATCATAATGACATATTACGACCTTCGATACTCATTGGAACTGCACGAGCAGCTTTGGCGTGACTTTTACGAGCACTATTACTTAAATTTCGTATATGACTTTCAATTCGTGATGTAGCTCCAAAACCAGATGTTCGTGATTTTCGAGGTTTTCGAGAAAGTGATTGAGATTGTTCTGTCTGATCATTATTTCCTTCGTCGTCATCATCATCATCTCCAGTAGCATTTTCTCGAACACGCCATTTTGGTCGAACGATGTAATCCTTGTTTGATGGTTGAGGAACTCGAGCCCGATTAACCCATCCAGGATCTCCAGGTCTCAAAAGTCTACAATTATGAATGAATCAGAAAATAAGCTTTTTTTAAGGATGTCAAAAAACAAAATTGGAAGTAAAAGTGTCGGCAAATCTGCGATAAGTACGAGACTGCTTTTACCAATCCAACAGATAAATAATAAACGATAAAATATATGCAGATAGTAATTACTACTACATAAACGCTGAGAACAGTCATTATTTGGTGGGAAGTTTTCACCGATAGTACCCGATAAAACTCGTTAGAAATTTTAATGTCACCGTAAAAAGAAGCAGATGTAGATTACAAAAGAAATAAATGGATAATTTTTGCTGTCATAAGGATTAGTTACATAACATAACATCATTTTCTCTATTAATGGTACCATACAACTAAGATGGCGTGTAATTAAAAATTTATACTCATATTTGGATTGAATTATTATTGTATTATAGCCTAATCTACGGCTTTTATAGTCCGTTCAGAATGAAATTTGTGAAGGATTGTTATCGATTCTTTAAGTATATCTTTTTTATATCAACATAAGTTGATTTTGTTGATTTTTGTTCCATTAAAATACTAATAAACTGAATATTCTCACTTAAACATCTAATAACACGATTTGAGAGAAGATGTAGCATATGCAGTCCATCAGCTAGCTATATAGTAGAACTTGGTACGTACGTACACTAGTTATTATTGTCATATCTCACAAGCACACAAAGATACAATGTTAGGCCTAAACGTCGAGTAGGAGTGGTAGTAACAGTACCGGTAAAGTAGGAAAGATTAAGGATTAAAGATACGATCAAGAAAATGTACATCAGTCAGGTAAAAAAAACGAGGAGTCCAGAAGCTTAGAATTTTGGGGGAGGTAAAGAATAGATACAACTGTGTTATTGTAAACAGTTTTAGCCATATCATTCTACGTGTCTAACCGCTGTTTACGATAATCTCGCAGATTCTAACAAGGTATAGTCTGGTCTAATAGTTGACAGCTACAAAAATTTCTACTGTGTTTGGATCGGGCCATCCCTATCTTTCTTCCAACCTATTCCACATCAAATAGCACCAATTGTCAAGATGAAAAGTGACCGGGCACACGTGACATATGGCTCAACCCCTCAATTGATGAATATCTAAGACCTCGTCAACCGAATAGCAATCATTATCTAAAGCCTTATCCTTAAACTTCGGCGTTGATTATTTAGTGGTCCAAAAATGCACGAGCATGGCTTTGAAGATACCTGCAATTGAATACTAATGAGGTGGATTTTACTCGCAACGTGGTTTGCAATTAATATGCAACCGAGTGTGGTAGTTTAAAGCTCGATTTCAAGAGACCGGAGATAACATGTCATAGACTCGAATAGAGACTGTTAGTGATGCATGAGCATAAAATTATAATGGAAGTTTAATGATGGGAATAAAAAGAAAATTAAGAAGTGACGAAAGGATTTAGTCGTGAAATATATCTTTTGAGCTGTTAGGAGAATGAGATCGATCACCATTTCTAGTTCGTTAGTCAGCCAGTTACAACGGACAACTTCGCGCGTACGTACATCAGTTCATGTCATTCAGAGTCTCTAACCACCGGTTACGATAATCTCGCAGACCTCAACCAGGCAATATACATCTACCAACATGGCTCAGTCCAGTTTCGTTGTTAGTTCGGCAGCCCTCGCCTTTCTTCCAGACTACTCCTACATCAGACGACAGTGCTCGTTGAGGCAGTTGGTGACTAGGCAAAACGTAACACATGTCTCAACCACTTTTATTCTTAATAACCATGTATCACATCCGTATAATAGGACGGAGCGAACTGCTGCGCAGTACACTCGTCCTTTGGTTAGTAGATGGATATCTTGCCTACATTACATGTGACGCAAGTTGGCAAAAGCCATTCGGCCTTGCTTCGTCCGTGCCAAGATTTCGTCAGACATCAATGGCATTAGGACTTTTGAGATTCCCAAGATAAGTGAAGCGGTTGGCACGTTCAACTACATCACTCTCTATAATTAGTTCAGGCGCCGATGTCAATCAGTCCTCAAGCAACATTTTGCATTTCGAGGAACAAACTGCATCTCAGACATGCTTGCATTGTTGCTAATAGTGGTCAGAAGACTGAATTTTTTCAGCGTCTTCACCAACCAGAACTATGTCATCTACATATTCTATGCCGAAAAGTGAATGTCCTGGTAGATCAACTCCTGAAAAGTCAGACGACAAGAGTGATATTTTAAAATGTCTATGACAAAGTCGAATAAAAATGAGAAAAGCAAAGAACCCTGACGAATATCACTTATAGTAACTGAATCTGTCGACAGGTCACCATAAGATATGACCCAACCAGCAATGTTCGAGCGGAGAGTATACAAGGCTAATGTACTTATCTGTTATGCATTTCAATGACAGATACTGCCACAGAACCTCAAGACCAATAGATTCAAACGCCATCTTAAGGTCAAGAAATACTATTTAATATCAGTAGTCGAAAAGAATGCGACTGCTTCAGCACCTACTGAATTCCGAAGATTTGGTCTATACATTCATGTCCAGGTCTGAAACCAGCCAGTTTGCATTTCACGAGCTCTAGTTGAGTGTCGAACTATTATTATTATCAGTATAATCAGATTAAGGCGCTAAAGATATAAGAGAATGGTTATGCGTAGTGTTCAGAGGTTCATTATACACACCTATCATTGATTACCTTCATCCTCACTGGGGAATTCTCAAATAATACCATCTTTTATCGATAACCTCGGATTGTCAACCAGTCTGCTTCCGGAACAACGTTCACCAGTGAAGGTGATGTAAATCGTTTAGTAATTACAAATTAGTACAGTCAACTTTGGGATATATTTTATGTGCGAAAGCTAGTGATACTACCTAGCTTCCGAAACTTTAGCAGATCAAACGGACGCTTCAACTCCGCCTTAATTACTAAGGCCACCGCCCTACACGATCAAATGTAGTGGAAAGAAAAGAATAAAGGTGTGAAAAACGTAAAATCACACACTTTGAAAGTGACGAATAAATTACAAGCTAACATTAAGATACTATCAATCAGTCATCGCAAGTGATATCTAAGTAACAAATTTTATACAACTTAGTTCCACTAACTAGTTTTTTGTATCAAACTACTTATTATTAATGAGTAGTATATGAAGCATTCAGTGATTTTTCAATCCAACATTTTAATGTATTTTCTTCGATTTACTTATTGCATGTCATTTCAAGAGCAATTTACGATACCTTTGGTCTTACTCATTCTGTTTAATGTTTAAGCGTAGTGCTATTCAGTTTTTATGCGTAAGTTTGAAGAATATATGGTACAGTGAATTTCGGTTCCTTAACGAATCACTGAAAAGGTAATCGACTTCACATGCCTAAGGGGAACGTCCGTAGTGGATAAGGTCAAAATTAGAAGAACTAAAACTGGTATTAATGGTTTTAGAACGAGTGACTTGAAATATAATTCACTACTAGGGATTTCCTACTCACTGCCTGGGGTGTTGCTGACAAATTGAGAGGATATAGAGTGCAAGATACCTGGAGCTTAAACCGGGTAGGTGTCCGAATATTCACACAACGGAGTTAGAAAAACCTGATTCCAAACCAATCATGCACATGGACTTTAGAATCTTGAGGGAGCAAATAACGTATGAACCACATCTCTTAACATAACTCCACTACCTTGCGGATTAGACTTCTAAGTCAAAGGCTCGTGTGGTGCCGCCTCCAAGCAGTATTTCAGTCCTTTCACAAATCGAATGACAACTAAACCTCTGTATATGTTATACTTGTTTCAATCCTTATCCTGATAATTTACACTTGTAATTGTTCGTTAATATCCAATTTTATTTTACATTACGTCACTTGTCTATTGCCTTTTACTACCATTTCGTGCATTTTTTTAATTTTCCAACTGCTACAGAAGCTCGCTCATGGTGGAAATCCTGTCCCATCTAAACGACTTCAAGTGTCTAACCGGTCGAAAGTTGAATCCTACTACCGAATACGAATTCTAAACCAACCTTCCTGAAACCATGCGTAACGCTAAACTGGCTTCCTTCGACATTCGGAAACAGATCTGATGGACGTAGGTAATGGTGGTGTGGATCTGTTACTACAACGACTTTGGACCTCGAGTATGCGCATATTGTGTTCCTGTTTGATGATTCCAAAGCCTTGTCATCTGCACCTAACTAGTTGGCATTTTATCTGTAGGCATGGAATATACTTTGCCCCTAAGTGTACAGGACTATTACAAGACTAGTAGTAAGTAGGTGAGAACTTCGTTAATCGGAAGAATCCTTTCACGTTGTATTTTTCCCAAATGAACTGCTTTTCCTATTAATATTATTATTATTTTCCCACTTATACACTAATTTCTGTCCATCTCCCTATGCACAATCTAATTTTTAATATATTACATATTTTGGTACCACTATGGATCGATTTTTATGTCTAAATAAATAAAGGGATAATACAAACAATAATTGAAAAATTATTCTTACCCTTTTGCTTCACCATCCAATTCACGATTGATATCACGGTGGTTGTAGGCCTCGTTGCTGTAAACAGATAAGACAAATGAATTTTATCAGTTTACATTATTGAATATTTTAAACAAAAAAATATTTGAAATTAAAATTCAATCCCATTAAAAACTGAGTCAATTATTTTCCTATCATAATGGACGATGGGAACAAGTAATGAATACAACTACACTTTCAGGTTTTTGAGGAATAGCTTCTTAGAAATCAATACTGTTATACTGTATACCTAGGTTCTGTAGAATTCATGTTTAAACAAACTGATAAACTGATTGAATTGACAGTACAAACTGATAGAACGACAAAACATCTTGTGATTAAGTGACATATCTTCATAGTACATTGTAATTCTGGTAAGCATGTTTATATTGTGTTCAATAGTTAGTCAAAGTACAAAACGGCTTTATCTACATAAATCTAAATCTCAGTATCTTATAAATTAAGTTCCAACCAAATGGTCAAAAATGTATGAGTGTACATTCACATAAACTAGAATGCAATATACTCAGCATGAATAAAGTATATGGTGATTAATGAATACAACTGATACATTAGTAGTGGCGTAAGTAACTCTCCTATGTATGACTAACCTCTGTTAACAATCCCTGATATTGAGTGGTTCATTTTAGTAGAGTGGGATTCGGTACACAAATGATACGGAAACCGAAACTTTAACAAGTTAACATACATCGTTGTCCATCATCAACAGCAACGTAGAACTTTGTACGTAAGTACATCAGTTCATTTTGCCATACCTTACCAGCACAGTCAATTCAAATCCAATAGTAGAAGAGGCAGTAAAGGTATTAGAAGTAATCGGAGAGGTTAGGGTTAGAAGATATTCAAGAAGTATGATTCAGTGAGGAAAGTTTAGAAAGTCAAAATTAGAAGGGTTGAAGAATCCAGAAGATTAGGATTTGAGAGAACACAAAGAATAAATGCACCGGCGCCATTGCAAACGGCTTAGAGCCATATCATTCAGGGTATCTAACCATAGATTATTATCATCTCGCGGACCCCAACCAGGTAGTCGACAATTACCGACATGGCTCAGTGCACTAGTCAATGACATCATGGATTTGTGCCATGTTTTGGTCTGGCCACCCCTAGCTTTCGTCCAAGCTATTCCTATATCGCAAAACATAGCTCGACGAGGCAGTCGGTAGTTAGGCATACGTAACACATGTCCCAACCACCTCAACTGATGAAGTTTCACTACTTCATCTATTGATCTGCCATTCTTACCTAGCACCCATTTCCTCACCCGGCTGTCCCACGATACTCGAGTAATGCATCGGAGATACCTAAGATCAAAAACCAGTAACCTACGAATATCTTCTACTCTCACTGGCCATGTTTCACAGCCATAAAGTAGGACAGAGCGAACTACTGCACAGTACACTCGTCCTTTAGTCAGCAAACGGATATTTCGACTTCGCCATAAGTGAGGCAGGTTGGCGAAAAGCCAGTCAAGTCTTTTCTATCCGTGCTGTGATTTCGTCAGTCACCAGACCAACGGCACTGATGAGACTCCCGAGATAAGTGAAACAGTCAACACGCTCAACTTCTTCACTCCCTATCACTAGTTCGGGTGGCGATGCAACATTTTGCATTTCGAGGGGGAAAATCACATCCCGAACATGCTTGCATTGTTGCTCAGGGTGGTCAGAAGACTCCATTTTGTCAGTGTCTTCACCAAATAGAACTATGTCATCGGCATATTCTAAGTCAGCAAGCGATTTTCCTGGTAGAAGGTCCACTCCTGAAAATTCACACGAAGATAATGTTATAACTAGCAGCATGTGTATGAAAAAATTAAACAAGAATGGGGAAAGTGGACATCCCTGACGGACACCACTTGAAGTAAAGAATTCCGATGACAGTTAGCCATATGCCCTCACTCTATCAGTGGTGTTCGAGTAGAGAGCTTGTATAAGGTTAATGTACTTCTTTGGTACACCTTTTAATGACAGGCACTGATACAGAACCTTATTATCAGCCTGCTCCTGAGCTGACTACGCTCGTCATCGCACTGAGAGCCAGGCGGGATGAGTTTACGAGCATCTATCAGTTCCGTAGATGCTAATGAAACCCACGGCTTCTGCACAACCTTATGGTTTACCTTACTAAAAGATATCACTGCTCTTTCCACAGCCTTTTTGATATCATTCCAAACTGCCTCAGGGTGGGCATCACTTACTACATGGCTGCTGAACTGTTTTTCTAGTTGTTCCTGATATATGTTCTTAGCTTTATTATCATTAAGTAGAGCCCTAAGAGGTTTACTTGCGTCTAGTAAGGGACAAACAAATACGCACTCGCACTAGAGCATGGTCTGAGTCTAAGCAAGTGCTGCAGAATGAGCGGCAGTCTTCAACAGAATCTCTCCACCGATGGCTTATAGCGATGTGACCTAGTTGCGTCCATCGTTGGGTCGGCTTTGGGGGTCGCCAGGTCAAAAAGTTTTTTACCTTATGCTTAAGGTTAGTGTTTGCTAGGAATATGCGGTTATCAGAGCATACCTGCACCAGACGGTCGCCATTATCTGTTCTATTATCCGCGACAGCATAAGATCCACCCAGGTCTTTCCTTTTCACTTAGTCCACCTACTTGAGCGTTAAAGTCACCAGCCATTACTACTATATCAGAGCGCTTAACATAATGGAGACGTTTAGAGAAGTTTCTATAAAACTTATCTTTCACGTCGTCTGAATCGCAGTCAGTGGGAACGTTTGCAGATACGACGAAAAGGCAACGGCGAGTGTCCGTATCCCATTTAGGACAGCGTATAAGCGACTGCACATCAGGATCCAGAGAGCTAGTTCTGCCCCTTACTTCCTTGTGAGAAGGCAGCATCGTGGCAGATGCTGGTTGTTTGAGAGGAACACCCTACTGCTGTCACGCTCCTCTGCAGTCAGCAGTACGACTTCGCCCTCAGACCTTGAGTAGCTGCTTTTAGTCTCTTCGTTCTCCAATCGACCTGCCTGGCATGGTAGAGGCTTCAGGAACATATATTCCAGCCAATATAGCTCGGTTGGGTCATGACGATAGGCAAGCCCGACCACCACGTCAAGGTAGCAGCTACGGTCGGGAATCTAAGCTTGTAATTCCTTTGAGTTCTAACCTATTATCTATTGACTGAAAGCTGAGTTTTAAACTCTAGGCTACTGCTTCAAAGCAACTTATATTCGAACTCTTGTATCAAATAGTCAAAGTCAGAGGCTTAATACATAAAGCATCAGCAAACCAAATGCCGTAAAGTGAAAAAATATTTGAAATACGAAAAGTGGTTGTTTTCAGTGTGGCTTTGCGGTTTATTATGTACATTTTAATCAGTATATATTCAACAATGTTATCATTGAAATTGAACTTACTCGATATTTCTCCGCTTAGGTAAATGTTCATAATCCAGCTGTTTACGCTCTTCTTTAGTGAGAGTACGATAATCGCTAGTTAAGTTGAATATAGGTCTGAGCCATTCATCTACAATTAAGTACCAGATCGTATACAAAGAAACGTGAGACAAATTTCAAGCATCAAGACTGGGGAAAACAACAACTATACAAACCAGTGTAACATTAATTCTCCTTTTCTGATCTATCGCTACTATAAAACACCTAAAATCACTGACTACTCTTGATGTGAAGACTCTTTTTTTCAATAAACAGCAATCTTCACGTAAGGTTTTTACTGCTGGTAGAAGTGAAAAATTACTATTTATTATCTGACTTTAATTATGTATTTTTTTAACATACAAGTAGCTTACTGTCGTACTATTTCAAGTGAATATCATGCATATAAGCAGTAGTAATAATAATATCCTCACAAATGTTCTCTGATTCATTATTTTGGACATTGATTGCAGAAAAAAATTTATTTGCTTAGAATTTAGAGCTAAACCTCAATAGTATATATGATCTGATTGACGCTAACATTTCAGCAAGCCAGCATGTTTGCCATAATATTTGATAACTGATGTCAAGCTATATATACATGAAGACTGGATGTTGTTGAGTGTGTATAAAATAAACAGTTTCTCCTTCATACATGTATCTATAACTCTCAATTTATCGTAAGTTCCAATGTGAGTATTACGTTATGCTAGTCGTATAATATATTCTTGCCGCTATCTTTATTTAATTACAATCACAGAGAACCAGTGTGATACCGTAAAAGTGTAATGTGACTAGCTTTGTCATATTTATTAGGCAATGAATATGTTGTTTTATTTTTGTGAACCTCAAGCCTAGTAAGAAAATGTTAAGTTTTCATTCACCGTATATTTCATTACATGTGGTTAAGTAGTCTGATAGGCATTGTTAAAACACAAAAAAAGCACAGCATATGTCACTCGAATCTGTCACATAAAGCAGTACCGAAGAGTAGTAGATTTTATTAACAAACAATATACAATGTTGCTGTGATTCAGTGTTACAGCAGACAGCTAACTGGAGTTTAAGATAATCATATGATATAAAAAACTACTCACTGATAAGTCTTCCAGCTCTATCTTTATTTTCCCGAGTTTCTCTCGGGTGTTTGTACAAATACATCAAGGCTTTCCCAACACCAGATTCTTGAAGAACTTCAGGTGACAACGACTGAAACTCACTGAGACTAGTCAACATAGAGTCACGAATAACGAGATTTGGGAGTGTATGGCCAGGTAGAGGAGACAACCATTCAGTTATAGCAGATAGCATCCCATTTTCTATTAAGGCAGATTTCAGGTCAGCTCGTCTAAGAAGAGCTAATACTTCTTTGAGCATGTTCAGTTTTTTAGTTGCTGGCTGACTAGCTGTAAGTAACTGTCTGTCTTCATCAGCAGCACTTTTCATTCGAGAAATGGTTTCGACAATCAGATCATCGCTATCATTAAGAAACTCGATATCTCTATTACGCCTTCGTCTTCGTCGTAATTCTTCTTTCTTTTTCTCCATAATGCGATCGAAGTCGGAGACGAACTCATCATCATGTTCAGACTCTTCATCGTCTTCATTTCCTCCAGCTGTGGTAAGAGGACCTTTGTTTGTTTCAAACTCGTTAGTTGTTTGAACTTCAACTTCCTCTTCAATGCCTTTGTCAAGTTCATTTTCGGCGAAGCCCTCAAATTCTTCTTCTGCGTCACTTTCGCCAAAAATATCTGCTATAATACCATCTACCTGAGATTCTGGTTGTTCATCTCTTTCAAAACCTTCGAAGTCTTCATTGAATTTACCTTGATCTTGATCATCATCATTATCTTCAAAAATGTCATGAAACTGATTATACTGGTGTGACTCGATAGGGGAATTATGTTTGCTTGTCGGATATTTTTCCTCAGAATTCGCTTGAGAAATTCTATCCACTTCCTGTTGATGAAATTCTTCCTGGTCGTCTTCTCTTACAGACTCTGAATAGCTGTTGCTCTCATGTTCGGCTTTTTGGTGAACTTCAGAAATACCAGGTTCAGCCTTCCTGGTCAGAATTGCATCTGATGCATGCTCACTTCCGGAATAGCTTAAGGCAGGGCTGGATCCAGGAGAACTTAAAGCTTGACTTGGAGCATAACCTGGGGTAGTGATATCTACAATAGGTTCAACGTGATATTCTCTATCGTAATCAGGATCCTTCGCAAACTGATTCTGCTCAGGTTTAATGATCGGATACTCATTCAAAGAACCAGCTGGAGAATGTGGAGGATTATGAGAGTAAGATAAGTGATTTCCCGGGTCGTCACTTAGATCATCAGAGCCTGAATCCTAAGAATGGTAATTTAGCGTATTTACAACTCACTTCATCAGCTTCAGAAGGAACATATCTAGGCTTATATACTGCTTTTTCATTATCCACTAGTCGACTACAAACAGGATCATAACCATCGTGTTCATCACCAGATTCGTCTTCGAAACTTGAATCTCTAAAATAAATAAAAATGAGCAAATTAAGTTGATGGGTTGTTACAGGGATTTTCAAATAGGACAGCAAAGAGAAAGGTTGTCAAAACTGAAAATTAAAAATATTTTAATCATAAGCAAACAAATCTTACCTCAATATGGATTACATTTATCAATAAAACGCTAACATAAAAACAAATGCTCTTGTAATACCATGAAAGCTTGTTATGAACTACGTGCGCAAATTATGCTCAGCCAATCTACAACTATACAATAATCAAGATAACAAATCTTCTGACAAAACCAGTAACGTCTCTATAAGGCACGTCCTATACATCTTATAAATGTAAACCAGTTTTTACAGCAAAAAGGTATTAAAGGTTAAGACCACTTTATCTCACAATTTCTCTGTACCTGCAGTTATACCTACAGTGCCGCAAAATCTTCTGGTCTGACGAGATAAGAAATAATAAAGAAATGAGATGATATAGTTTGGGTTGTGCGACTAACTTTAGAGGGGTATGACAGCAGTAAGGTGACTCCTTCAAACAATCAGTATTGGTGGCGATGCTGCCTACTCAGGAAGAGGTTATGAAGGGTCGGACCACTAGCAGTTGTCTACTGGGCTCTGAGGTCTTGGTTTCAAGTCACTAAGACCAATACTAACCTAGTTTCTTTTTCAGGTTCCTCAAGGAGAAATATCCTTAAACGGTATGGTCAAACAGGAAGCGACAATCGCCTGCATACCCTTAACAACACACAAGACCCCTTTATAACGAACAAATCCATCCCTCACCCGTGAATAACCCTTATTCGCAAGATCAACCCTTCTTGCATATGATGAACGCATCACGCCACCAATTCTGACAATTTTAATTCAAGAAAATTAGTCCCAGGTACCAGAAACTGTGCGCTCGACTGTAGCTGCTACCTTGAAGTAGTGGTCGGGCTTGCCAACACAACAGACCGATATTGGCTGGAAATTATGTTCCTGTAGGTTCTACCAAGCCTGAGCAGGTCGATTAGAGAACGGTAAGACTGAAAGCAGCAATTCAGAGCCTGGGTGGGAAGTCGTACTACCGCTGTAGAGGGGTGTGACAGCAGTAGGGTGCTTCCCTCGAACAACCAGCATTTGCAGCAACGCTGTCTTCTAAAAAAGAAAGGAAGGGGTTGAAAAAGGTCAGCCCTAAAATTGTCACCTCACGTTGCGTCTCTGAAACGCGCACACAGGATCTCAACACAATGATTAATTCGAATTCGCCTAGTCCAAATTAAGAACCAATGCGGTTCACTCTTCGTGTATCTGGAAGCCCTGATGCTGCTTCCCGGGGTCTCGCTGGTGTAGATATAGCATTGAGCCGTAGGGCAGAACTAGCGCTCCTAGATTGGATCCCAGTAGACAGTCACTTGTGCGCTGTCCGACTAAACAGGACAGTAAGGACTCGTAAAGATAGGGACACTCATAGTTGCCTCTTCGTCATAACTGCCTACGCTCCTACTGACTGCAGCTCGGACGAGATAAGAGATGGGTTTTACAGAAAGCTTTTGGACCTCCTCCAAAAAGCTAGGCGCTCTGATTTACAAATAGTGGCTGGTGACTTCATTGCTCAAATAGGTAGGCTCAATTAAAAGAAACACACCTGGGTGGATGTCATGGTGTAGCGACTGAAAGAACAGACAATGGCGACCGTCTGTTGCAACTATGCTCAGATAACCGCCTATTCTTAGCGAACACCAACTTTAGGCATAAAGAAAAGCATCTGTTGACCTGGCGACCCCCGAAGTCATCTCAACGTTGGACTCAACTAGATCACATCGCCATCAGCCACCGACGGAGGGGTTCGATAGAAGACTGTCGCTCGTTCTGGGGCACATGTTTGGATTCAGATCATGCTCTAGTGCGAGCTCGTATCTGTTTGAGGCTTACTGGACATAGGAAAGACACCGTAAGGAAGCCTATTAAGGTTTTACTTAATGATAATAGGGCGAAAAATATATTTCAGGAACAACTAGAAAGAGAGTTAAGCAACGATGTAAGCGATTCCCATCCAGAAGCAGGTTGGTATGATATCAAAAAGGCTGTGGAAACAGCAGTGATATCTGCTAGTAAGGTAAACCATAAGGCTAGGATGAAGCCATGGATATCAGTCGCATCCACCGAACTGATGGATGCTCGAAAACGCATCCCACCTGACTCTGAGCATGATGAAGAGCGTAGTCAGTTTAGGCGCAGACTCATAAAAAGTCTGCGTAACGACCGCGAACAGTGGTGGGTAGCGAAAGCAAAAGCAATGGAAAAGGCAGCGGCGATCGGCAACAGTAAACAACTTTTCCGCCTTATTAAAGAAACTGGTATTAAGGACCCGAATGTGAGTGAGACTATCTCGGAAAAGGATGGTCTTATTATCCATTCTCAATCCAGGAGACTGGATCGATGGGCAGAACACTTTAGGGATCAGTTCAACTGGCCACGAGCCACTCTTCGGTTACCCACGATCTCCAGTCATCCTGAATGGCAAATCGACGTAAGTCACTCTAGTCTTAATGACGTTGAGAAAGCGTTAGGAAATCTGAAACGAGGACGAGCTGCAGGTCCTGATAGACTGACCCCTGAGATATTTAAGGATGATGGTCTAGTTTTATCAGCTAAGTTGACTGAGATCTTAGGTAGAATCTGGGAACTGGACGCAATCCCATCCGACTGGTCTCAATCACTGATTGTCCCAATCTATAAGAAAGGACAAAAGTCTTCTTGTGACAATCACAGGGGAATCAGTCTAACTAATATAGTATCTAAAATATTGGCCTCAATAATACTTCGACGCTTAATGAAAACTCGTGAAGAGCAGACTCGAGAAAACCAGGCTGGTTTTTGACCTGGACGTAGTTGTATGGACCACATCTTCACACTACGACAGGTCCTGGAACATAGACACACATTTAGGCGTCCTACAATAGTTGTTTTCGTGGACCTTAAGGCGGCATTTGAATCTGTGGATCGTGAGGTTCTGTGGCAGTGTCTGTCATTCTGGCTCGCTTATTGACTTAGAATATGCCGATGACATAGTCCTACTTGGTGAAGACGCTGACAAAATGCAGAGTCTTCTGACCACCCTAAGCAACAGTGCAAGCATGTTCGGGATGCGGTTCTCACCCTCGAAATGCGAAACGTTGCTCCAAGATTGGGTTGCATCGGCACCTGAAGTAGTGATAAAGAGTGAAGTAGTCGAGCGTGCAGACCGCTTCACTTATCTTGGGAGTCTCATCAGTGCTGATGGCCTGGTGACTGACGAAATCTCAGCTCGGATACAGAAGGCTCGATTGGCTTTTGCCAACCTGCGTCACTTATGGCGCAGGCGTGATATCCGATTGCTAACCAAAGCACGAATGTACTGTGCAGCAGTTCGCTCCGTTCTCCTATATGCCTGTGAAACATGGCCAGTGAGAGTAGAAGATATTCGTAGGTTACTGGTTTTCGATCATAGGTGTCTTCGAAGCATTGCTCGTATACCGTGGGACAACCGAGTAAGCAATGCTGTCGTTAGGAAACGAGTTCTAGGTAAGGATGGCAAATCAATAGATGAAGTAGTGAAACTTCATCAGTTGAGGTGGTTGGGACATGTGCTGCGTATGCCTAACCACTGACTGCCTCGACGAGCTATGTTTTGTGATGTAGGAGTAGTTTGGAAGAAAGCTAGGGGCGGCCAGACAAAAACATGGCACAAATCCATGAAGTCACTGACTAGTGGACTGAGTCGTGTTGCTAGATGTAGGCTACCTGGTGGGGGTTCGCGAGACGAAAGACACTGATGGTTATAGACCTTGAACGACATGGCTCAGAATCGTTTGCAATGGCGCAGGTGCATCCATTCTTTTTGTCCTCGCTAATTCTAACGTTCTGAACTCCTCATAATCTCTATCTTTCTCCTAAGTTTATCTCACTGAATTATACTTTTCGAATTATATTTTCGCTCCCTAATCCTCTCAATTACTGCTAATACTTCTACTATCTTTATCACTCTTGGATTTGAAGTGACAGTTGCGTCTCTGTGCTGATGTGGTGTGGGAACCTGAACTGATGTACTTACGTACGAAGTTCTGCGTTGTCCTGTTCGACTCTTGATAATGTTGAAAAAGCAATAGGAAATCTGAAGCGAGGAGGAGCAGCGGTACCTGACAGGTTTACCCCTGAGATTTTTAAAAGTGGTTGTCCAGTTTTAGCAGTTAAAATGACTGAGATCTTAGGACCATGGAGGACGTGAAAGCCAAGAGAGGAGCTGATATAGCCTTAGACCACCACTTGCTGGTAGAGCACTTACAGGAACTTTTGAAACGACCAGCACACTGAAACCACTCAACATAGAAACAGCAACAAGGGACCTCTCAATCGATGTTGGATAATTGTGGAACAATCAACTAAATGAAACTCCACACTCTACATCAACTTCATTGACTACGAGAAAGCATTTGATAGAGTGGACAGGACAACACTATGGAGGCTTCTTCGACGCTGGCGTGCCTAAGATGGCCAACATCATACTGAATTCTTATGATGGATAAAGCTGCAAAATCGTGCACGGACGACAGCTGACAGACTAGTTCGAGAAGACCGGTGTTAGGCAAGGTTGCTTACTCTCACCCTTTCTCTTTTTCCTGGTCATCAACTGAATTATGGAGACGTCGACATCTGGACTTCGCAGACGATCTATCTTTTCTATCGCACACGCTACAGTGGGAGTGTAGGCAGTTATGACGAAGAGGCAACTATGAGTGTCCCTATCTTTACGAGTCCTTACTGTCCTGTTTAGTCGGACAGCGCACAAGTGACTGTCTACTGGGATCCAATCTAGGAGCGCTAGTTCTGCCCTACGGCTCAATGCTATATCTACACCAGCGAGACCCCGGGAAGCAGCATCAGGGCTTCCAGATACACGAAGAGTGAACCGCATTGGTTCTTAATTTGGACTAGGCGAATTCGAATTAATCATTGTGTTGAGATCCTGTGTGCGCGTTTCGGAGAGGCAACAGACATCGATCGCCCGGGTTTCAAGAGTCCTAGCTAATGGAGCCTGTTGCCTTACTTGGCATAGGGTGCGAACATTAAAACTCCAACATACGGTTAACGACGGGGTTTCAGGAGACCAGAAATAACGTTTCGAGAATTCGAATCATTCGCATCAGCGGTGCGGGGTGATAAAGTAATGTGGGAAGAGTTAGTCGTGGAAATACGGGGTATGTTAAGGGTTGCAGGAAGGATATGATTGTGACCAATTAGGTCTCGTGTACTGTAATGAGTATGAGGGCGGACGTCACTCTACGGCTGCCGACAACGTGGAAGGGCGCTTCTTGAAGGAACCTGAGAATGAGGTACATTGCTGCTGGTCTTGGAGAACTGGGAGCGTGGCCGCAGAGCCCAAAGGACAACGCCTGTAGGCCGTTCACGCATGGACGACCTTTTCTAACCCTTCCTTCCTTGTGAGAAGGCAGCATCGTGGCAGATGCTGTTTGTCCGAGGGAAACACCTTACTGTCGTCACAACTCTCTACAGTCAGTAGTACTGCAAATTTACACTCTTAGTCAATTGAAAACGACAACATTACATTGAACACTATTTGCACACCATCTTTGAGTCGCGACATCCAACGCTCCATCCTTCTTCCATTCATGCTGTTGCTTCCTTTACTTCCTGTTGGTACTCTATTTATTTCTAGCTTTTGCTACATTTGCTTTCCGTTTTCTTCTTCTGACCGTGAGACTTCTTCTTTCACGTCCCTTCTTATACTACTTATATCGTTCGTATAAGTAGCACACACCACAGCACGACTTCTGCCTCAGACCTTGAGTAGCTGCTTTTAGCCACATAGTTCTCCTATCGACCTGCCTGGCGTGGTAGAACCTACAGGAACATAATTTCCGGCCAATATAGCTCGGTTGGGTCATCACAGTAGGCAAGCCCGACCACCACATCAAGGTAACAGCTACGGTCAGACGGTGGTTAGGCATTCGTAACACATTTACCAACCAACTGATGAGGTTTCAATACTTCATCTATTGATTTTCCATCTCTACCTAGCACTCGTTTTATAACAACAGCATTGCTTACTCGGTTGTCCTTGGATACATCAGCAATGGTCGGAAGACATCTAGGATCGAATACTAATAACCTACGAATATCCTCAACTCCTACCGGCCATGTTTCGCATCCATATAGTTGGACGGAGCGAACTGCTGCTCAGTAGACTCCTCCTTGCGACATGTTGAGCTAGCTGATAGGTTTGTCTCTAACCTATAAGGCCTGCTTTGTTACTCAGTGTCTTTTCGATGAACCATAGACATTTTTAGTTTTTTTATTACTCATTAAGGTTTTGAAATCCTTAATTTACGACGGTCAGATAATTATGTTCCATAAACAAGTTTTCTGCAAACCAATTGTACGGTTACAAAATAAAATACTGTTTCGTTTATTAGGAGCGATGGATAACCGAATGAAAATTACCATTGATTCTCGGGTTGCACAATACCTCATTGAGGTTAAGTGTCAGGGTTTCTGTTTTGTAATTTGTGAAAGGGCATTAACAAGTATCCTCTGAAACACTTCCTTTTACTGATGATTCGAAACTTTGAAGATAAGCATACAAACATAATGATGTGTTGATACACTAGACTCAGTTTCAAAGTCAGGCATACAACTATGGACTAATCTCTGATTCCTGAATGCACGATGAAGAGAACATAATAGGTGTGACGAGATTCCTCCCATTTAAAGTCGCACTGGTAAATTTGAAATGCTTTTTCAAGCCGTCTGATATTAGGAATTTTCACCTTTCTTTACTTAAACAAGGTTAGGATGGTGCACTGAAAACAAGTCCAGAGATGAACTGCAAGATCCGTTCATGGTCTCAAGTCAAGAACTTACAACCAACGACTAAAAGCATTTGGTCTATGAAATTTAGAATATATTAGACTTATAGGTGACTTAGTCATGACTTATAATTTCACGGAAATCTAAGAGAACCTCCCAAATACACGAGTTTGGTCCTAAGGAGAGGCAGGGAGAACGGAGTTAAATTCTAGGAATCCCTACTTCTTAGAACTCTATACCACTCATAGACAATTTGATTTCCAGAGACACGCAAGATCAGGGAAGTACTAACGCGTTTATCTCTGTTCGCATTAGAATACAGCTCTAGCTTTCCAGTTTGGAGGCATTATTCAACTACTACCACCGGATACGGAACTTATTAAGAAATATTTTTCATCTGGTACACTACCATTCGAAAACGTTGATTGACTAAAACATCTGACATGAGATTCATGCACAGTTCATAGTAAAATATCGGATGCTGAACATGTTATATGTAACAACAAGTATGTAAACGACCAACGTAAATACTTACTCCGACAGCATGACGGCAAAACACACTGATAGAAGCCCAAAGATAAACTAACGGCTTCGTCACAGTTCGATGAGCTGAAGAGCTACCTTAACAACAAGCAATCAAAAATACAAACTCATGTGGCCCTGATTTTGAACACGAACACGGTGTGCACAATGTTCAATGAAATTGATTGAAACATTGCTTTTGGACTTGAAATGAATCCATGAATACAAATTATGTCATAATATTAAAAGAAATATATGTCGAAAGCGGTTTATAAAAATTGTACGTTTGTTGAACAGTACAGAAGCAGTGGATCTACCTTTTGTAAATAACACTTTGATTTTGTTTGCTTTTGTTCTTCAAAACGATATATGTCAGCATACCGTAAACTCGGCTTTTTCAGATTACGTCTATGACGAGATACAAATTTGAAATGCAACTATGAAGAACAAAGAAAATTCAATAAAATTTTACTGGTCTCGTAAATATACAACAGGAAGTAGACATGCTTTTATTCTGTGAACCATACAGTTCTTTTACAACGTGTTTTTAGACGCGAATTTGTAAATAACACAATAATTTCGTTATATTCATGGTCATAGCAACTCAGTCAGTTAGCATGATAAATAATCTGAATTCTAAAATGTGTTTACATCAGAGTTTATGCGTAATTTTGTTCTTTTAAAGTACAACAGATTCTTATCAAATAGTTTGGCTTAATTATCTTCATTGCAAGGTTTTCAACACTGAACACTTCAAATTGAAATAACGAGCGTGAATGAGTTCACAATTCCCTCTCTTAGCACAGTATGACAGTCGAAACCAGTATATATCATAAACGATGTGAAGTGATATGTTCGAGATTCGCCGCATCACAAACCAGTGGCCTGTGCTCTGGAGTCTCGACCTAGGGAACATATAGCTGCTGTTCATGAGGTAGTCCTCAATTCTGCCGTACCAGATGTCTACGGTCGTCACAAGCAGGCGGTTTTCAGACATTTCCTCCCAGCGAGGGATGAAAGATAGCACGTCACCCGGTGGGTGATGCTAAACCAAACCACCACCTCACGCTTCTGCAATTCTTGGCAGGACCTACGACAGCAGACTCTGACATAGTCAAAGAACTGTAGCTAGAGTCTCTACCAGCACACGTTCAGAGCAGACAAAACTTTGGTACGGACTAGCCGCGACACAACTACATAGTTGCGTCAACGTCAAACACCAATGTGGATCTCGATGCTAATCATATTAGGGGTCAAAGAGACAGTGGCTGCTGTACCCACAGCCGTTCTAATTTCCGGGATCGTTCCGCTGTGCCCAAACCCTACGTCTCCCGAGCCCGATCACGAAATACTGCCAGTACTCGCCCTCAGCGGGCATCTTCCAAGCAACGTCAAAAGGCAACTTCCGAGGCGAGTATTGATTGGTGCTGGTTCTATCGCACTTTTAGGTCTGGCGCTCGTCATTTTAGAGCCCCCTGCTCATACAAGGCGGGAAACTCCCGTGCTCGTTGGCCCCTCACCTCAGGTTGGCCGCCTATTTTACTTGCACGATATCCGCACTAACGCTAGGTACCTCGTTGACACAGGTGCCCAAGTTTCTGTCGTACATCTAGGTAGCAGCAAGTCCCAACCTATGATGCTTCAACTATGCGCTGCAAATCGCTCTATCATTCCTACCTATGGCACACGACAGCTAACGGTCAACCTGAACAACCGACGACAGTATCTGTGGACGTTCATCATTGCTGATGTTCTCTCAGCCATACTCGGTATCAATTTCCTATAACACTATGACTTGCTAGTCAATTCACGTAGGCTTCAGCTAATCGATACTTTGTCGAGCAGCAAATTCATGGGCTTTCGAGCTCAAACAAACGATTATCGTATCACAGGTGTGTTTCATTCGCGTGATGACATTTTCTACTCTTTACTCGAAAAACTCCCCAGCAAAATAAACCACTCGAGGAGAATCTGTCGGTGACTCACCATATGGTACACCACAATGTCACAAGCGGACGACCAGCCACGGCAAGGCCTCGCCGATTGGCACCGGATAAATTAGCCTTTGCTAAACATGAGTTTGACAATTTGCTAGCTACTGGTGTTATTCGTCCTTCTCACAGTCCTTGCGCCTTACCACTCTACATGTTTCGCGAAAATGATGAGACAGATTGGCGACCATGTGACGACTACCGAGCATCAAATGTAGCAACACGTTTCAATAGCCATCTCATCCCCCACCTACACGACGTCACGGTATCACTCAAGGGCACGACTATCCATTCTAAGATTGATCTGGTACGAGCATATCATCAGATCCCAGTCACTCTTGAAGATACCGAGAAAACTGCTATCACGACTCCTTATGGTCTTTTTGAGTTCCTACGAATTCCATTTGGATAACGGAATGCTACTCAAACTTTCCAAAGGTTTATGGATAGCATAGTAAAAGACTTCGATTTTGTTCACGTCTGCATTGATGATCTTCTAATCGCATCATCAAAAGTAGATGAATATTATCAACATCTAACGCTCTTATTCCAACGCCTTTCAGATAATGGAATAATAGTTAACCCAGATAAGTGTGAACTGGGCAAGGCAGAAATAAGGTTCTTGGGTCACATCATTAGGCATGAGGGTATCCTACCTTGTGAAGGATAAATTACGTACAACCATGGAGTACACTGTACCAACCTCCCTCAAGGAACTGAAGGTTTTTCTTGGTTTGGTCAACTTCTGCAGACATTTAATCCCTCACGCGGCAAAGCAGTTACTACCACTAACCGATTTACTTCGCGGTAATCCACGCACACTAGAACTGATCGATGCCGCGCGTACTGCATTTTCTGAGGTTAAAAAAGCATTAGCTGAAGCCACGTTTAGCTTAGCGGTTGATGCATAAGATTTCGCTTAAGGAGCCGTTATGTAACAAAACATCTCTGAGAGTTGACAACCTCTCGAAGTTTTCTCACGGCGCCTTACTCGGACAGAGACGAGATATAGAGCTTTTGGTCGCGAGCTGCTAGCAGCCTACTGTGCCATCAAAAATTTCCGATACTCATTCTCATTCGTTCTCTGAGCCCTAAATGATAATTTCACGAGAAGTTCATCGACTGTGGAGTATGTGAAGGTTGCTCTGACGCATTACTTTCTATTTATTCTACCAGCAACTTTAAATATTACATCAAATTGGATTCCATGAACATTTCAACACTTACATATCCGTTGGTAAACTGTTGCCACAGTGATTGGCGTGTATCGTGGTGCTCCCTAGTGGGAAATAACGCTATGAGAAACACTGAAAATGCAGTATTTTATTACTTTATGGTTCTGTTGTGTCAGTAAATAAATGAACGTCCTTGTTACAATTCGTTTTGACCTATTTAAGCTTCGTCAAGTCTATTACTGGAGGCTTTAGTCCAATAAAATAAGGTCTGTGACCACTAACTAACGATTGGTCCGTCACTGTGCAACGGTAACGATAAGGTAAAAGTGTCGAGAACTAGGTTTGGAATAGTTAGGCAACGTTTGCCTTCATAAACGCGCTAACAAATAAATATGTAGGTGGAGGAGACAGTTTGAGATAATAATCCGAAACCTGAAGTCTGATATTATGCCTGGTTTCGTGTATGGTTATCTTAGTCCGTTTAGCTCTTGAATACAATCTCATCAACCCACTTAATAGCTAAGCTACATAACTGCATTAAAACTATGCGGTACACTCCATCCTCTTAGGTTTCTTCGAAATATTCAATCAAGTTGATCTTCAAATTTATATAAAACTTAGGTCTACACTTACTGGTGGGTAGTGGATGAAGTGGCTAACCGGTTACTTAATAGTGCGATTGCGCTCGGGGTTGTCTAATCGGTATATTGGCTAAGGCTGAGCATTATGGGGCCACATCACTGTGCAGCTTCGCATATTACTTTTGTGGTGAAATAAACTAAAATAATTACGGGCAAATAATTATGAAACTCAAAGAAATGTCAAAAGTTGGCCTATGAGTCAATTAAAAATAGTTTGAACAAATGGCTTCTGTGGAATAGAAGAGATTGGGGTGTTGAGAGTTTCGGAAACTCTGTAAATGGCTAACTATAGGAGGTATAGTGTTTTCACATTAAAGTTTCGTAGTTAGATTCCTCACCTGTATTGAGACATCAAGTTTTATAAGTGCTTTTAAACTATGTTGTAGCCTGGAAGATGAAATGAGTTTATGAGCTCCGGTGACAGATAATGAAAAGGTGAATTCAGATTATTATGTACACTTTTCAGAATGAATTATCAAGAAAAGTTGTGGATGTTAAGTCAATCAATCAAATTCAACTATTTTTCTTGTATCGATTTGTGCGATTAGTTATTAATCCTCATCTGTATATTGGTGTGTATTTGTTCGTCTATTTTTATGTTTGTTTGTATTTCTTATTTTAAAAATTCTTCAGTAAATCAGTGTTTGAACTCCATCTGGAGCCAATTCAGGGTTATTGCCGGTCCTAAGCCCGGAAGGTTGGGCATTGGACTAGCAACCACATCCCATAGAAATCAAAGTCACTGAAAAAACGCTAACCAGAAAAATAATTTTATTAAAATGACTAGTATTTTTAGCATGAATATCATTCTAATATCAAGCACCTAGAAAATGAAAATGTAAAGTATGAGAGACAGTGGTTTTCTCTGTTCTGTAGAAGCTTATTTCGGTACCGAAGTATATGTAGATTGCGCAGAAAACGAATGGAGTTAGGTGTTGTTGTTTGGACAAATAGTCGACGTTGGATGAATAGGCAGACATTCTTTTTTATTGTGGGCAGAACAATTTGGCATTATATAGCATGGTTTGTGTAGTGTCACCATATATATGTTACTTAAGAACACACCAGAAATACAGCCAGATATCAATTCATCGTCACCCACTATCTGGCTAAATGATCTCACTTTCTCGAAAATGTAAACTGCAGACAACCTGTTCCTCACCGTTTTGCTTTAAGGCACAAGTTCAGATCTGTTAAAAACCTCCCGTTTTGAGATAATAAAGAAAACTTCAGCATGGCGAAATGTAGAAATGTTTCAATTCATTATGTCTAGAGTTCGCAAATAGAATTTTATGATATGTCATACTTGAGGTTATATCACCAATTTTTTGGCTAAATTCTTTATCTTTGTTAGTGTTAATCAATGAAAACAGATTAACTAGTTTCTTACTTACTTACCTGCTTACTTAAATACTTGGTTAC